AAAGTTCAAATCACTTGGAGGGCCAAGTGTCCCCCATTTCACCCTTCTTTTGGTAAAATATGTTGATAAACTCTGAGGAACAAAGAGTCTAAGAATAGCAATAGTCCTGCTATAAGTTGGATGCTGTAAGCCACCCAGAGACCTTTGGGTAGTGTTGATAAACTCTGAGGAACAAAGAGTCTAAGAATAGCAATAGTCCTGCTATGTTTATGCTTCCATATCTTTATTAATGGGATAAACTTGAATTCAACCAACCAAACATCATTTCCCAAAAGTCAGCTTTCTGTGCATGACAGAATGGAATATATACTTGAATAGTTCTTGGAGCAATAGAGGCAGTGCATCAGTAGAAGCAGGTTAAACTCGGGAGGGGGGGGGAAATACAAATAAAGGTCCTGCAATCAGTGCTAATCACACTCTGTGGGGTTGACAGCAAATATTGAAGACCATGAAGCAGAAATGTGGCCTTCTTTAATATGAACTATGCTGCCTTAGAACAAGCCGAGCAAATATTTAATTCCTCCATATTACATTTGTCATTATTCTGTTTCTAAGAATGAAGACTCCAATCAAACAACCTATACTATACTCACAAGTCAAATGCATACCTTCCAAAGGACTTTAGTTACAAACCACTTGGGAGTATAGTTTACCTGAATACAAGCATATGTCTTTTTAATGTGTACAGAAGCAAAACTAAAACGTTCTGGCACCTTTCAGATTAACAGATTTATTTCAGTGCAATTATTTCTGAATTACAATCCACTTCGTCGAACATTTTGAGTGCAGTATTGAGGCCTTAAATTCATATATTCACAGTGTACCTTGTGGGAGTTGGGATGAAGAATAATGGGATATAAAAGATGACAATTTCATTGTGCTATTAGAATATTTAACATTGTAGGCCAATATATAATATTTAGGTTTTTGTCCTTGAAGGGTTGAAGCAATAAGGTCTGCTTTCAGAAAAAAATATGGTTGTGCTGAGATGACAGCTTTGACAAAGAAAATGTTTTGGCTATACATCAGATGTTAATGAAAAACAACTCATTTTTATATATGAGTGGTTATTAAAGAAAAATGGAATTTCAGCGGGAGGCTCGGAGGAGGTAAGGAGAGAAAGCAGAGGGAGGCTCGGAGGAGGTAAGGAGAGAAAGAGACTGAGCAAGCAGAAGATCCATAACATCCAGTATGCAACTCAAGGCTTAAAGAAAGATTGGGGCTTCTAGCATCGCATACTGGATGTTATGGATCTTCTGCTTGCTCAGTCTCTTTCTCTCCTTACCTCCTCCGAGCCTCCCTCTGAAATTCCATTTTTCTATAATAACCACTCAGAGATCAAAAACAAAATATACTGGAGGACAGGTTCTTCTGACACAGTTTTTTGTGTGTTGCCATTTATGGTGTCAGAGCTGTGATAATTTATTTTCTTGTGCAGATACTGTATGCTGGCTGAATAGCTCACTGAGTTAGGTATCTGGTTGGAACTCTGATTCCCCATTGTGGCTCCTGGAACACAAGCCAGGCTGTCTAGCCTTGAGCAAATTGCAAAGTCTCAGGGCGCCCCCAGAAGAATGGATGATAAACCACTTTTGAGTACTCTATACCTAGAAAACTCTGGAAAGTGTTGGCATATGTCAGAACTGATATAACAACAAGTAATTATTATTAGATACTGTCTAGTTTGCCCTTTTTTGAATGCCAAGGGGCATTTTTTGGAAGAGGATTACATGTGTTGCATCACAAGATTAATAGAGAAATGAAATCCTGATGTTGAGGATGACATTGCTGGGACAAAAAAAAGTGGCTCTAGAATAGATGTGAGGGATGCAACTGGAATCTGAGTTGTTAGCATAGTCCTGATACTATCACATGTTGTGCGGTCAGTACCTGTTTTTTGTACAGGGAAAATTTGGCTCCGAGGCCCTTATGGTGCCACTGGCGAAGCTTGCATATGTGTGGGTGGGTGCGGTGGGGATGGGAATGTTCAGCACTGACAGCACCAGCAAACTGACATTGTGACAGACAGCAGTAAAGCTAAGAAAGCTGAAGGCAGGGGGCTGGTTACCACTGGGAAGACACTACTGGCAATCTGTGAAGAGCCTTCTCAAGCCTGTTGCCGAATAATTTACAGTCTAAATGAAGGAACAAAAAAAGGGGGAGGGGGCTTTGACAGAAAGACTTTCTGGGAAGAGAAAGATCCCACTGAGTGTCCTTGCATCAAGAACGGGGAAGGTTTGGCCTACCAGATCTTGTTGTGCTATAGCTCCCTGCAGCCCTCAACAGCGACTATGCTTATCGGAGCAGGTCAATACCATCTGGATGGTCACACTTTGCTCACCAATGACATGCATGATTCTGAGAGCTGCAGTCCAAAACTTTCCCAAGCTCTGCCTGTCTCTGTCATGTTGCTGAAGGTCTTTTAAAACCTTTAACTGGCTCTGAATGTAACAGAGAAGCTCTGAACTCAAGGAAGATGACTCCCTCTCCCTAGAGGAAAAGAATCTGCAACTTTATGAGTTTTAGACTTACACATACAGATAGACTGGCTGCTGGCCTAGTCCTGGAATCAATTCAGTTAACAATCTTGTCTTGCACATTTTCCATTGGCAAAGCATGAGATGCAGTTTCCTAGAAACATCCCTCTTTCAAATTAACTGGCTCTCATGAGAAACCACCCCAAAGAAGCAATTAGTGGCCTGTTTACCCAGCTCAGTATTCTGTGTGTAGTACTGTATTAAGTTGTAGCTTCTCCCTTTATGCAGAACAGTCTGATCTCTCCTCACAAGGAAGTCTTTTGAATAGCAGGGTTTGAAGTCCTGTAGGCCCACCTACCATTCTCCTCCCTATGCCTTAACCAGAGTCGCCAAGATGCCCGCTGAAACAGCCCCATCTCAGGCTCTGACTGTCAGCAGCCAGCCGTCCTAACATACAGTAATCAGAGGGCCAGAGCCCCACAGGCTGACCTCTTCCCTCCCGTCATAATCTCTCTGTGTGTAGGAGGTGGGGAACGGGATGCAGACAGAGAAATAAAATGGGCGAACGAATGTAAGCAAGCCAGTCTTTCGAGGTTTGAAGCCCAGTTCAAAAGGGACCAGCAGCGGTAGAAACAGCTCTAATTTAAGACCAAGGTTTATTTTGTGGGCTCAGGTAAGTTGCGGAGGGAATCAACGGCAGGCAGCTGAAGGCCTGGCTGTGGATATCTCCAATTTTTGCGTCTGGCTTTACCTGTCAGCCCCCCTCCATCGACAACGATCACACCTGCCTTGACACGTTCACATGCTGTGAGGGTTCATGGTTCGGGGCTTTCCGCTCTTCCCAAGAAGGAGTCGACACCGCTTTTTCTGCTGTCAACTTTTCTTTATTAACAGGAATAAAAGGAACTTCACTCTTAACTGGTATGTCTGCGTTGTCCTCTTGCCTTACAACCGGCTCAGGCAAGGGTATCCAAGAAGTATCAAAAACAGATTTAACTGGTTCAGAGTCCCAAGGTCCAACGGGGACCTCCCCCAACAACTTGTCCTTCGCCTCCCGGTCAAACGGACTTAACAGTGGGAGGGTTTCTTCATCTCCCATCCACCCCCATCCGGGGTCTCCTTCTCCTGGCGAGGTACTCCAGGGACCAGGTAGCAGCCCATCTTCCTCAGCTCTTCTATATGCCATGCTTGCCTGGCCGCCTTCTCTCTTTCACTCGCCTCCTTAGCCTCAGCCAGCTTCTTACGCCAGAGCTTGGCCTCCGTCTCCCCCCAGTAAGAAGGCTTTTGCATCAGGCCCTTCTTACGTCTCCTCTCGGCC